TACCATTCTATTTAATTGTGTAACACCTGTGAAACTAATTGAACAATCATTTGACATTTTAACTTCTTTATATACTCCATCAAATCCTTGAACATTAATTTTATCATCAGAATTTGTTGTTAAAACGAGAGGAAGATTATTATTAGGACATAATGATGGAAGTGTGTATGTTTGTGAATCTGAAACATCAATACTTGTTGATTTAGTAATTTCACATTGTTCAATTTTTGGAATTAATAAACCACTACATCCTTTATAAAATATATTAGTTTCTTGAGTTGCTCCTTCAATTTCAACATTACTCAATGTTCCAATTACATTTCTTAAATTACAAACGTAAACACATGCTGTTGGTATATTTGAAATGGTTATGCCAGTAAATGAACTATGAACATTGAATATACTGTTATTTACGTTTTGATATGTTTTAGAATCTTGTACATTCAATTTGTTAATTGAGATAGAAGTGACAGTTGATGTACATTCAAACTTAGTTTTCATAATAGTCATTTCATTAACAGAAATACTTCCATAAATTGTAATTGTTCTTATTGTATTAGTGTCTGTATTTTTAAAGATAATTAAACCATCCTTAGCATTAATTGATGTAAGAGTTATGTCTTGTTTAGTGTTAATCGTGAATGTACCTTTTTCAACATTAATTGATGGTGTTGAAACATCACTAGATTGAGTAATTGTACCAATAACATTTCCATCTTCTATTGTTAAATCTAGTGGAATTTTAGTAATTGTGAATAGACCATTCAATGTTAAATCATTCACTTCAGTTGGAAGAGTGATTGAAACAGAAGTACTTAACGAATTTATTATTTTTAATTTTTGTGCATGAACTTTTGTAAGATCAATTGATGTTGTTTTTGTTTTGTCATTAATATGAATTATTCCAGAACATGGAATATCACTAGTTGTACATGGATTTAATTCCAATTTATTGTCTGAATATGTCGTTTCAAAAGTGATTGGTTGACAAACATAATCATTTCCTTTTTCTTTTTTGCTGAAAATAACAGTATCATTACATTTACTTATACAGTCTGTTGGAATATTAGTTATTTTAGAATGTGATTTAACAACAATGTTTTTAGTAGTATCAACAGTAAATGTATTAGAATTATCAAGGTTAAATATAACTTCATCATTTAATGAAGTTGTTAATTTTGGACTGCATTCTTTAATATCTATATTAACATTATTAACTGATGCACTGACACTTGTTGTTGTTGATTTGATTGTTACATGTGAGCTAGTTGCAACTATAACATTATTAAATCCTGATACTATAGATTGTGAATAAACAGTAACAGTCTCTGTTTTTCCATGCCCATTAATAGTTATTTCAGTTGTACTATCACCAAATACAGATATTGAATGATCAGAAGTTGATTCAATTGAAATTACACCACTTAATCCTGAAATATACGTATCTACTCCAATATCAAATTTCTTCATTCCAGATGCAATAACATTCGGTGATTCAATTTGAATTAATGTATTTCCATCAGTACATTTATGAGACTCTGGATTAAGATATGATGTTTGTTTGTTTAATTCAATATTTTTATCAGTAATTGTATAACATTTATATGTTGGTTGTTGTTTATCATCAGTGCTTTGAGTAAGATATGAATTAACAGGAATAACTTTACTATCTGTAAATGTGCACGCTTTATTATAATTTAAGAAATGTTCAGGAATTGTGTTTTTATTACTATTGTTGTTATCAGTGGTTGTTACTTTAAATGATTTAAATATAAATTCATTTCCACTTACAAATGAAAGTGTACCTGTTGTAAAATCAACATTATTACCACTAATCTTACCTGTTCCAAATGTTGTTAATTCTGTAATAGTGATACTATTTCCAGTAACTATTAGATTGCCACTTGTAGTAAGTGTTTTTGCTTTAATATCTCCTGAAATAGTCATTGAATTTAAAATAAGTGGTGTGTCTGAGTCAATTCCATTACAATTACCATATACTGTAAGTGTTTTATCTTTATTACCATCTTTTGCTTTATTTACAATTTTAACTTTATCAACATTAAGAATAAGATTTTTTGTTTGTCCAGTAAGATGAATAGTAGATCCTCCATTATAAGTTGATTTAATAGTATAATTAATTGATTCAGATGTTACACTAGAGTCCGTATTTAATTCAATATAACAATCAGATGTTTTACATTCTATCAACTCATGTTCATATTTAAGTGTTAATTTGTTTGAATCAGTATTTGAATTACTAATAATCTTTGTTGGTAACTTTTTAGAATTGCATTCATCTTCTTTATCTGTGCATACAGAATAATAGTCATGATATAATAAACATGTTATTTTACTTTCTTCATCACTCAATTTTGAAGTAAATAACATTTTTCCATCACATGAAAATATTTGTTGATTATTATTATCAGTAAATGTGATATGATTATTTAATCCATCAAGTAATAATGCTGGAACATTTGGATGGAATGATGAGTCAATGTTAACATTCGTTAATTTAAGAGAGTATTTATTTCCATTATTAATTATAGAAAGTAAAGTTGATTTTACTTTCATGGTTTCAATAGTAATTTCAACTTGTTTTCCATTTGTATTGTCATTTGTAACAGTAATTACTCTATCTTTATTTCCATATTCAAACTCTTTCAATGTTAATTCAAAACAAGTACTAATATTATTGTTTACTGAATATGCTTTGAATGAACTAGTTGTTATTAATGGTAAATTAGATGTAAGTTTATTTACACTTCCTCCAATATAAATTGATGTTACTCCAGTAGCTCCAGTTAATGAAATTGTATTTAAATTTGAATTATCTTGAATATTTGATATTTTAGTAACATCTTTAATATTAACAGTGTTTGAATTCGAATTAACTATTAACTTTTCTTTTAAGTCATTTCTTCCTTTTAAAGTGACTGAATTTGTTGATGATGGAATGTTATAAACACAATTAATATTAGCATTACCATTACCAAGTGAACATGGACATTCTACAGCAGTGAATTGTTTATCAAACGAAGTATTATCAGTTTTATCAATTGAACACACAATTGTATTATTCATTTCTCCTGTTTTCATCACTCTAACAACTTGTCCTTTCTCTGTAGAAAGTACTGATGCAGTAAGTGAGACAGTTTGTTCATTAGTAATTTTAATTGAATTAAGAGAGTCACTTGCAATAAAATCACAATAATTAAGTTCTGTATTGTCACAACTTCCAGTAATATCTGTAACTGTTATTTTGCTATTCTTTTGTAATATAATATAACGAGAAGATGAAACTGAAACTGAAGGAAATGAAACAGTTGAAGAAGTTGCAGTAAATACATTTTTATTATCTGAAGATGCTTTAAGTTTATTATTGAAAAGAGATGAACTTATTTTCATTTTATTTTTATTGTCTTCTTCATATGTTACTGCATCTGTTACTGTCAGTTTCATATTAGTTGGATTTAAATCTCCGATTTTCATTGTTTTTAATGTCAATTCTGGATTTTCTTTTGTTTGACCTGTTATTTCAATATTGATACTAGAGTCTGTTAATGATTTAAATGATAAAGATTCTCCAAGGGTATATTTTTCACCAGTTGTTAAAGTAAGTGTATATTCTTTAAAATCAGTTGACTGTTGACAATCAGGTTCTTTAAAATTTGACTTTTTTATTGTTTTTTCATTATCTTTTAATGTACAGATACATGTGTTTGTACTTCCAATTCTATAATATGTACCACATTTATTTGATGAAACTCCATCAGTTTTAACATCAGTAGCTGTTTGTGTTGCATAAACACATACTGAATTTGAATCACATTTACCAGAAACTCCAGTGACTTTAATGAATGAAACTGTAACAGAATTATCCATTTCTACTGTCATACTTTTTTGTGAATCTGAATTTTGTTTTCGTAAACCAGCCTTAATACCAGCATTTTCTTGTTTTGTATCTTCTTCTTTAACAGTTACAACAACATCTTTTTGTTGTTTCAATTTAATTGAACTAATACTATTTGATAAAGTTACTGTACATTCTTTTGTTGGTTGAATAGTGTTCCAATTCTGATTAATTGTAAGTGTAGAACCAGGACAATCATCAATAAGATTCATTTTAGAATATTCAGTAATAGAATAGCAATCAATTTCTGAATATTTGTTATTTGTTCTTGTACAATCACATTTGTCAGACTCTGATTGTTCAGCCATTTTGTATACTCTATTATAATCACATTGTTTCTTTGAAAGATCTGAAGGAATACTATTTGCGTATTTAGCATAATAAAGAATTCCATTATTTGTTTCTGTTGTATCAACTTTTTCAATAGTTATTTGTGAATCAATAATCAGTGGACAACTTTTTGATAATTTAAGTGTTTTAATTGTTCTTGTTCCTGTTAATGTAAGTTTTGAACATGAACCAATAGTAAAAGTATCAATATCAATACTTTCATTGTTCTCTCCAAGCTTAACTTTAATTTCACCAGTTATTTTAGTATTATCAAAAGAAAGTGAAGTACAATCACTCTCAACTGTAAAATCATTTGAATCTATTGAACACTCTTTAGAGAGACAAAAACATATAAAAAGAAAGAGTAGATTAATAATAATCATATATGAATAAAAGTATCTCAGATGAGTTTCTTAGTTCCATGAAAAACGGTTAGAAATAAACTCTTCATAAATTTACATAAAATATCAAATTCCATCATCTGTTTTTTCTTTTTTCATTATTTTTCCTATTTGCATCATTTATTTCCTTTGAATATCAGAAAAGTAATTGCAATAACTTTTTTTGTCGTTTCATTATTCGTTTCAAATATCTATTTTTATCTTTTTGAATAAAATCTGAACTTAGAATATGCAATAACTCTTTTCAACTCCCTTTTTTTTTTAACTTTTCTATTATCTCCTTCTTGTAGAAATTTCTATAAAAATAAAATGTTATTAAATGATATAAAAAAATTTTAATTAATTCTTTCCTCTTATTTTCCACCATGAATTCTAATGATCTTACCAAAAGCAATAGTTTTACCAGCATCTCTTAAAGTAAATCTTCCTAATTGTGGGAATAATTCATATGGTTCAATACAAATTGGTTTAGCAGTCTTAATGACAACATTTCCAACACTTCCACTCCTAAGGAATGGAGGATTTTTCTTTGCTAATTTACCTGATCGGTCAAATTGATCTGTAATTTTAGTTATAACAACTTCTTCTTGAGAAGTATGAATATGGATAACAGCCTCATATCCTGGAGTAAGTAATGGTCGTGGTAATTCTAAAACAACTAATTGAGCTTGGAATAAGTTAGTAAAATGACAAACGTCTGATGGTGAACATAAGACAAAACCGGTTTGAATTGAATCAGCTTGGTCACCTTTCATTTGAATTCTTACATTATCTCCTGGTCTAGCTTTTGAAGCTGGGACTGAGTTTTCATCATAAGTAATTCCAGTAACTTCTAAATCAACTTTATTTGGCATAACGACACATTTTGATCCTTTGTAAATTGTTCCACTTTCTACTTTACCCATAATAACTGAATTACCTTTACCATCTTTAAATTTATCAATAATTGGCATTCTAATTGGACCATTAGGATTACCCATGACTAATTTAATAGAATCAAGAAGTTCAACTAAACATGGTCCATCATACCAACTACAAACTCCTTTGTCTAATCGTTTAGTTAAGTTTAATCCTGAAAATCCAGAAATTGGGATTGAATAAATATCAGAAAATCCACATTGTCTTAAGAATGGTTTAACTTTATTGACAATTTCATCATATCTACTTTTTTCCCATCCAACAGTTTTTTCATCCATTTTATTAACTGCAATAATAACTGTTTTAACTCCAGCTGTTCTACATAATTGGGAATGTTCTCTTGTTTGACCTCCTTTATCAAATCCAGTTTCAAACTCTCCTTTTCTTGCTGAAACAATTAATACAGCAATATCAGCTTGTGCTGCTGCAGAAATCATATTTGGAACAAATGATCTATGACCTGGGGCATCTAAGATAGTATATCTTCTTTTTTCAGTTTCAAATAAAGCACGTCCTACATCAATAGTAATACCTTTAGATTTTTCTTCTTCAATTTGATCCATAATATAAGCCAACCACCATGACTCTCTTTGATTTTCTTTTGCTTCTTTTTCAAATTTATCAATAATTCGTTGTTCAATATTTCCTGATTGGAACAAAATATTACCAGAAGTTGTTGATTTACCAGCATCTACATGTCCAATAAAAATAATATTTGCACTTTCCTTTACTACTTCATTTTCTTCTGTTTCAATTTTTGCAATTTCTTGTTTAACTTCATCTTCAGAAATAGCTGGCCCATTAGGGGTTGTTGTTTGAGCAGCAGTTGCGTTTTGTTGTTCTAATTTTTTCTTTCGTGGAACAAATTTCTTTGCTGAAAGGTTGAGATTAATTCCAGACATGACTGAATTTTTAGGGTTATTTTAAGTTCTATTTTTTATTTTTTTTAATAGTTAAACTAATAACTTATCATTTTTTTATTATTTCATTTGAGTCTTGTTGTTCAATAAGATATAATTTTATTTTTTTTAATGACAACAAATGAACAAGAGTTTTGGAGAAATAAAGTCCAGTGAATAAAAGTGTTTTATTCAAGTCTCTTCTCAAAACTTAAACCAAAAGTTATATAAATTTTGTTATAGTTAAAGTGTATCATTAAAAGAATTGTTTGTAGGAAAAGAGTATCCATCTCCTTTTGTAGTCCAAACAGGTAAGAAGGAATATATCCATGAATCACCAAATACTTCTTTAAAATTTTTCTTGAATCCCACATTAAATCTATTAACTTGTTTATTTTTTCTACATGAAGTCCAACCACTCTTATTTTGCTTCAATTCAATACCTGTTTCGTTTTGAATAATGTGGTATATTTGTTGACATAACATAAGAAACGTCACAAATATGAAATAAATTGATATGAATATTTGAATAGCATGAAAAGGTAAAAATATCTCTTCAAATTTAAATGATTCTTTTGAAATTATTTTTTCTATAACTATATAAAGAATGAAGATTGTTAGAACAAAAAGAAGTGTACAGAGTATAAATGTATAAAAGAGAGTCAAAATGAAATATTTGTGATTTGCATAACCAATACAACTACCAACAAATGGACAATGATGATCCATTTTTAGAACACATCGACCACATCTTGAACAATGATGACTTCTTTCTGGTTTTGTACAATGACAAATTGAACATTCATTTTCTCCTTCAACATAATGATTTAATGGGACATAAAGTTTTTCTTTTACTTGAACACAACGATTATAAGAAGTAGTACCTAATATATATAAAGGAATAAATAGTATTAAAAGTAACAAAGAAATATACCACACATATAATCCAAGTTCAATGACTTGAAAGATAAACACTACTCCAGAAATAATAAAAGCAAAATTAATTCCTATATGAGAAATATGATTTTGACATTCAGTTCGTTGTGGATCATAATTATGTTTTTGTCTATGATTTTTATGAAAAAGTATATGTTTTTTTACAGAAGTTTCTTCAGTAAAACCTTCAGGTTGAACTGGTTCATCAATTACATTATTCTGACTATCTTCCATTACTATCGAATGGAGTTTAGGATTTTACTTAACAAGAAATTAATAAAGAAAAAAAAGAAAGAAAAAAAAAACAAAAAATGAATAAAAATTATTCGAGACTTGAAGAAATAATATGTTTTATAATTCTTTCATTCGACTTAACTGAGTTATTGACAAAAATACCACAATTCATTGCTGTTCTCTCAGCATTTAATAATTTTCTTGTTAAAAATTGTTTAAAATGAATGTCATGATGAAATACTGAAGTTTCTAGAAATGGTGGGAATGGAAGAATTTCACTTTTACAAACAACATTGACATGATATATTTCATTAGTTTCATCATTCTTTTCAGGAGTGACAACAATAAAAATATGATTAAAATGTGAAGTAATACAACGTGGATCAAAGGTATCAGTTGAATCAACCATTTCTTTAAAAACAATAACAACAATGTCATTTCCTATATGTCTTTTTCTTTCTAACTTTTGACTACCTTCATTATCTGGAAGTAATGGAGCAACATGAAAAACAATTTCATATGAAAATTTTTCATAAAAACTGAAATAGAAATACTCACCTGTTCTACCATTCTTTGAATCTAAACCACCAATAAACCTATTCCAATTTAATTGTTCTTTCTTTGAAGCAATTAAATCCATGAACTTCCAAAATACTGAAGAACATTCTGTATTGCTATACATTTCATCTTCTGTTTTTTGACCAGGTTTTGCATATAATACTCCAAATTTATAATTTTTGACAATAAGTTGAGTTTCTAATTTCATTAGTTGATCTTGAAGCTTTATATTATTCTTAGATTTAATTGGTTTTTCATTGATATTCAATGTTTTTATCCACCACTTAGAACAATCATCATTTTTTGGTAAAATGAATCTTCTTAGTCCACTTGGTCTAAAAGACATTACAAATTGAATTTTTTGTGTTTTTTGATAACATAAAATAGTGGCATTTTCAGGAAATACATAAAATATGGTTTTAGCTATAAAGATATGAGTGATACATTATTTAGTAAAAATAAGACAATTAAATAAACAAACGTTGAAGATAAAAAAATTGTTTGAAAAATGTAAAATCATCGTCAATATTAATTATGTCATAAGAAAATAAATCAAAGTTTCTAGAAGTTGATTCGATATCTGTTTCGATTGCAAATTCTTTTTCTTGAGCACAATCCATTATAACATTAAAACAAGTATATTTACCAGTCCATACTTCAATTGGTAATTGTAAACTTGACCAACAATCATATATTTTATTTTGACTATCTCTTAATGAATCCATAATTACATAATATACTGACTCTTTTGTAATATACTTTTTATTTGGTCTTAATACATTTGGAACTAATGTACTGATAACAGCATCACTTGGACTAGCAAACATTTCTTTAAGTTGTTCCATTGCTGAACGTGTTCTTTCTATATCAGTTGTTCCAACCCCTATTATATCTTTAAGAGCATTAAGCATTGTAAAATCAACAGAATTTGTAGTACTTTTATGCTTGGGTGTGTCTTCAAATACAGCAAATGATTGTCCAGAAGATTTAGCAAGAGATGATTTGGGGGTTTTAGGTGTTCTAGGTGTAAGGTGTGTAGGTGAATCATTAGAAACTGTGCTTTCATCATTTATAGAAAAATTTAATGACACTATCATAGCATCTTTATCTTCATTCTTTTTTTTAAACAAACAAAACCTTTTCTTTTGTTGAGAAGCCATTTACTAATAATAAAGATTTCAAAATGTTTTTGACTTTTCTTATAAAAAAAAATATTTGACGAGTTATTTTATTTTCTCTATTTATTTTTTGTTGTTTTCTTTCAGATAAAAACAACAAAAGTAAATAAAATGAATGTGTGATTTTATAATACGTTGAGTTATTCAAAACAAAAAGTTTTTTTCTTTATTAATTGAAATTATTGAAAATAAAACTAAAAATAATATTCTTATAAATGTTATATAAAACAATGATAAATAATCACCCAAAAATGTCAATTAATTTACTTCTTAATTCTGAATTTGCATTGTTGAGTAAGCTTTAATTTTCCACCAGTTGGTTGTCCAAGTGGTTGTCCACATTTTTGACAAAGAATTTGTCTATGGGCATGGGAGAAAGTAGTAGTAGTAGCTCCACATTTTGGGCATTTAATTTCAAGGAAATAGCTGTTTGGGGTTGGAACTAATCTCTTCATCTTGTGGGCTTTAGCTTCAGAAGCAGCAGTTGGATTCAAAAGGTCAACTTCGATTAATGGCTAAAATGATAAGTTTTGATAAGAAAATTGAAAAAGAACAACGTTGTGAACAAACCATCTTTGGAAGCTGTGAGTAATCTAGAACTTAATTTTTCTGAGAGGGTTTACCTAACTTATTATTAAACTATATTAAATCTATAATATTTTATTATTTTTGTTACTGAAGAAAAACTCCTAAAATCTATTAATTTTATGTAAAATAAAATTAGTTAAAAAAGTTAAAAATTAGGACTAAAAATATTAGAATGAAAAAATTAATAAATGAAAATATTATTGTTTATACAAAAGACATAGATACAAATAAGATTACTTTTCCAAAAGAAGGGATATATCGAGTAGGAATGTATTTACTTTCTACTGAATCTTTTTGTTTACCTTTTTATTGGAATGGCTCCAGAAATGAAGCTGATTTTATTGAGTTTCCTTATTTTTGTTTTGGTATAAATATAAATAAGAAGATAACTTCTTCTTTGTATGAACTAGAAAAACTACCAACATCTATTACAGAACTAACATTATCTTGTTTGTCTGATGAGCAATTTGAACAAGTTGTTTGTTTTCCATGGAAATTCTTCAAATTTTGTTAATAACTTATTTCAGTAGAAACGATTAACAAATAAACTAAGAAAAGAACTTTTAAATTTCCCATGTTTATTTCGTCAAAATGATCTTGTATCAATTTGTGGTGAACCTTTTCATGTTGATTCAATTGATCAAAGTCAAATTAATAATTTTGATACATTTTATATTTGTGATAGTCATACAACATTATCAGTTTTGTTTCAACATGAGCTTGAACTTCAGGTAATGATTGACTCTTCTTTAAATACGAGTGTTGGACTAAGTTCATTGTTTTACAAAAATTCAAGGTATGTGCAATTATGTACAAAACAACCATCAGTTTTTGAAATTGAGCCATTGAACATCTCTTCTTCTATCATTCTTATTTCACCCTTAATAGCCTCATATTTTAAATTGACACATCTCTCAAAAATCTCTGTGTTATTTATAAATATTCCCAATACAGTTTTACCTTGGGTACACATTTCTTCACAAATATGTGTGGGATCATTTTTCCAGCGTTGTGTACCAATTTTCAATTCATTACCCATTTATATTAATTCTATTCCAGTTGTGTTGACATCTTCACAACTTGGTTTTATTTCAAAAACAACACGTTTCATAGTAGATACTGGTTATTCCTTTAAATCAACTTTTTCGAGTTTAAAACCATTACTACCTTCAGTAATTAAATTAAATGATTCTATTCATCTTATTTCAAAAAACAATCTTCAATTATTTCATTATGCTATTGACCATCAATTGTCATTATCTCTTTCATTGTCTGGAAATGTTTCTTTTTGTTTGGATGTCTTTTCTATTCTTTTCAGATTATCAATCTTTCCCTTTCATTTTAACTTTTACAATTATTGTGTAATATCATTAGAATCAATAACATCGCCATTACTTACTAAACAATTTATTGAAATAAAAAAAGAACCTACAATTGTTATGTTTATTAGAACTAATAAGGCAACAGATTCTGTTATTAGTACGACTCAAAGATTTATTGAAGATTGTGAAAGGTTCCATCTTCCAATTATATCATTGTTCTATCCTTCTGTAGAATTTGTAATAAGTACTATCCAAATTAAAGAAAATAAACAAAGTCATACTATTTTTCAAGAAAAGAAAATTTTTGGATATATTGAACAACGAAAGAAATTAGAAGAAGTAATTCTTAGTATGAGCCATCCAATTCAACCATTAAAACCATCTGGGATTTTATTATATGGACCGAGTGGATGTGGAAAAACAACATTGGTTGAAGATTTTTGTTATCATCATTCTTGGCTGAATATCAAAATTATTCGTGGGTCAGAATTACTTAGTAAGTATGTTGGAGAGTCTGAAAGAAACGTTAGAGAATTATTTGATGAAACAGTAGACCTTATTGTTTTCGATGATTTTGATTCATTGGGGCATCGAAGAGATGGAGAGAAGACTGATTCTGTTGTTAATACATTGTTAACAATGTTAGATGGAGTTGCTGAAAGAAAGACTGCTGTTGTTGCTCTTTCCAATCGTCCAGATTTAATAGACCCAGCATTGTTGAGAGGAGGAAGGTTAGGTGATTGGATCTATTTAGGATTACCTTCTGACAATGATAAAGAGGAAGTTTTGTCTACTATGTGTTCAATGACATGGAGTAATTTTTCGTTAAAAACCAAGGATTGGACAATGGGTGATATTGTTTCTTGTTTACAAAAAATTTCAGGAGTTATTTTACAAACTCAAGACAAAGAAAAAAAAATTAATATCCTTAAAACAGCTATTGAAACATTTAAAGCATCTGGGCCAATGATGGACTTTTCACCATTTAAACAATTCGTAATTAATACTTCTTCCATAGGGAGAGATATGGTATTAATTTAATTATTTATAACAAAAAATTATGAAAAATACTCAAGATTGTTTCATCACAAAATCAAGAAAAAAGTTAAACTAAAAAATTTGAGATGGTAATTTTTGTTTTGATAATCCTCTTTTGTGTTTCTTTGGGACAAGGTATTGAGTGTGATAAAGAACTTTCATTTAAGGACACTGAAGAAACTATTTTTATTAATGGTAAAGAGGGATGTCTTATTCAATTCGTATCATGTCCTAATATACATATACAAGGTACTGTTATGGTTAAAAATTGTATTAATTCGAAAGTTCTTGTAAATAAAGGGGTAATACGATTGGGTGGAAGTAGTAATTCTTCATTTAGTTTAGATTCATCAATACTTATATTTGAACCAACTGAAAGGAATGATATTGAATTAACACAATTATCAATTAGAAAAAGTAATTGGAAAATTGAAGAATCTTTTTTATCAAGGACTATAACAATTAGAACATTAATTGACTATGATAGTGGAGTAACACGTCTAATGAGTGACTACACAATATTTAATATTAATTTCATTTGTCCTCAAGCAAATGGGGAATACATATATCGAACACCATCACTTGCTATTAATGAAAATATAAAAGTATGTTCAGGGTATTATTATAAGATTAAATACAACACAATATACATATCAGATAAGCAAAATGAGATAAAAAGTTATACCCCAACAATAGAATGTATTACATATGGAAATTCTTCTCATTGGTGGTTTGGAACAAATAATTCAAAATTATTTAATTTATGTCCATGTCCAACTGATAGTAACTGTATTGTTCGGTTAAAGGTACCAAGGGTATATAATATGGATGACCTTAATAAATTTAAAACCAAATACTCATTACATCTTGATGGGGTACAAATGGAAAGAATATCAAATACAAAAAAAATAGAAACATTGATTGTTGATTCAAATAGTATATTATTTGGATTATATGATGTTCAATTAAATAAATTAGAAATTAATAATGGATATATTAATGGTGAAGTTCTTTTTCTTCACACTTCAAGAATAGATTCATATGGAGGATATTTTACTAAGACTATTAGTAATAGTCAATTAGGAAATGTTTATATGACATATACTGGTATAATGGGAAATATGAATTTTATTAACGCTACTTCTTTTGTTTCGAGTCAACAAATTTCAGTATTAACTAATTTTACTAATTTTAATATTAAAAATGAATTTAAAATCATTTCTCCTCTCTTTGTCAATCAAAAAAAAGCATTCAATACTATTGATAATATTACTTGCTTAAATTTCAAATTAGATTCAGTCCTTGTTCAATCAGATATCAATAGCATTAATTGTAGTAAATTGTATATTACTTCAAGTTCTGTATGGAGTATTAGTAATATAATAACAAATTACTTTGAATTTAGTAAAAGTACATTTTTTATTGTAAAGTCAGTAATATCAGAATTATTAAAATTTGATAATTTAGAAAGACTTACAGGATATAGAAATAACTATCTTCAAGACTCTCAAATTAATATCTTATCTATTGTTAATTCTACAATTTGGTTTATATCATCTGTAAATACAATACAATTTAATGCTTTAGATTTACAAATTAGAGAATTTTATATGTTTTATTCTAATAAAGCATACATGAAGAATATTTATTATGATACGGATTATGTTGGTGTATTTTGGGATTGTTCTATTAACCAACTTATTTTAGAATCTACACCTAGGCTATTCTTAGAATGGTTTAATTCTAATGAATTAAAATTTGATGGTACAATAGAAGTAGATGTTCCTAATTCAGTTTCTATTAATAAAATACTTTCATCTTCAGAATTATTAATTTTAAATAAAATGACTATTCCTTATGTTATTTCATCTGGTCATGTTACCTTTTCGAGAGGTTATAGTGGATATTTAGAAGCAGAACGAGTAGACATTATTGATGGATTGTATAATATTACATTAGCAAAACAAATGAGTTTTACTATTCATGAACTAACAGTTTCTGCATTAATTAATACAATAAATTCTCCATTACTTATATTTAATGAATTACAATGTAATTCATCTATTCATATAAATCCTTTGGATTTTAAATCACCACATATTCAAATAGCTTCAGCACAAAATTGTAATAACCAACTGTATATAGACTTTTCTGTCCCAACATTATCTTCATTTGTTGTATTACCAAATGAATTGAAATTAACATGTAACTTAATGGGAGTATCATCACAAACATTTAATGAATCTTGGCAAGAAAAAGGTGAAGAGATTGATTTTCAAGAATGGAGTATTAATAATATCAATAGATGTTTAGTTGATCGCTGTCTAATTTCAGAAAAAAAAGATGAAGGATATTATTGCTCAAATAGAAAGAATAAATGTTATAAGAATTGTAGAGGAGTCATTGATGATACTATGTTTATTAGTTCTGTATCATTAAAAGAATTATGGGTATCAAGTAAAGTAGAAAAGATATTATTAAATGGGAATGATAATAATTTTGGTTTAATACTACTTGGTAATGGAAGTAACGTACAGTTTTTTAATAATAAAGTGTATAGTAAAAATATTATTGGAAAACAAGCAACAATCAAACTGAGTGTTAATGGTATTATTGAAAGTGATTTAATTGATGTTAACTCTATAGAAATGAATACGTTTAGTCGTATTAATAGTGATAAAATTAATTGTGATTTAATAAAAGTTACAATAGATTGTAGAATTGAAGTGAAAGAAATTAACATTAAAAGCATTACTTTTGACAACCAATGCGATATAAGTCCAAATGAAATTATAATTAAGACTGAAAGAATAAATTCATTAAATTTAAATAAGGAGGTTTTAATTAGTAATAGTGTTTGTCAATCAACAGTCAATACAATTGATTTAATTTTTGTTAAAAATGGATTTGACCATACTAATATTGTTGGAAATATTTTATTTAGTTGTAATGATCATTTAATTGTGTCAAATGGAAACAATGGAGTTTCAGAAGTAAAATGTGGGAAATATGGCGTAAGTGATTATTGTTATGTTATTTCACGAGACATTACAAATCCAAAGTCATTTGATTTATCTAAAAGTACAACAACATTTTGTCCTTGTCAAAACACAGATAAAATGGGATGTTCTTATATTATTGGTACAAATGAAGTTAATGGTAAAATTGATGCTTATGAAGTGATTATTGAGAAAGAGAGTGTTATCAAGAGTGATAATATGAATATTTCTGTTGAACTTAAAATAAAAGCTAATAGTCATATTTATACTTCTTCTAGTGTTATAGAGAGTATTTATATTGAACCATCAACTATATTACAACTTGATGGATTAGTAAACAGTCACTTAGTTAATGGATTTGGTGTATTACGTCAAAGAGAAGGTAAGTTATACGTCAATGATTTATTTAATGTTCATTGTGATGTTAAATATATATCAATAAGTAAAACTTTTAATCCATTAGAATTAGTGTTAAATAACTCTTTGATTAATTTAAATAAAAGAGGATTATTTTATATGAATATGACTACTATAAAATATATTAATCAACAAACTATACCAATTATTTTAGATAATCCATCTATAGTCAATCTTTATAATTCTGTTATTTCTTCATTTCCATTACATCAATGTTTTGAATTGATTCAAATAGTTAATGAGCCAATTCTTTATTTTAACAATCAACCCACATCAACAGAAGCAATATTTGATTATGAATTAACTTGTTCTAAAAAGATAGTTCTTTTATGTAACAATCCATCAAAACTATATCAATGTCCAACTCAAACATGTGTTTATAATGTCTATGAATCACCAATAAATTCTTCTAGAGGATACACCCAACCTCATTGTCCATGTGGTTTCTCAGACAATACATTAAAATATAGTGATAATGGATGTATTATAGAAGCAAAAAATCTAAATAATATAACAACAATATATGGTACTTTCCATAATATTAAAACAGATAATAATGCTATTATTTCCATTCATTCATTAACTAATATTAAGTCATTTGAACCTCAAAGTTTTATCAGATTTACTGGCAATGGATTTATAGAACTTTCAGTGTCACCATTAACAAAAAAATCATATACAATACACACTGATGTAAAAATGAATTTAAAACATGTTTATTCTAAATGTAGTATTAGTAGTACTTCAGACCTTATTATTGGAAAACAAGAAAATGGACAATTAAATATTACTGGAAATAAAAATTTAATAACGCTGTCTCAGAATCAATATAATAATATCAATATCAATATTTCAATGTCTCATGTCTATTTACCAAATGGAATAAATGGAAAAACATTTATATTAGAAACTCAAGGATTTAATAATCCATTAATGACTATGACAGATGGAAAAGTATTTTCTGTTGAAAGTTTTGAATATAAAGGAAATGATAATGGAGTATTACTTGAAACTATTCAAAATGGAATTGATATAAAATTATTAAAAAGAGGATATGTTGATGAAGACAAAGCAATATTAGCAACTCAAGAAGTAAAAAGAAAACAAATTTATTGTAAATATAATAATAATAAATGGAATAGTACAAACTGCCCTTGTACTGGAGTTAATTGTCATTTAATTTATGCATCAACATCTGAAATAATTAATGAAACTATAGAAGCAAATGAAATTAATATTTTTGGAAAACATAAATTTAATGGAAGAATTACTTGTGAGAAAATAACAATAGATGAGAGTTGTTCATTTAAAGAGATTTATGTAGGAATTATTAATATTACAAAAGAAAATAATATAGAAATAGAATTATATGATTATGAAGTTAAATACATTACAGGAATAAACTATGATATATTTACTTATAGTAGTGGTAGAATTCTTCAAATAGAAGCTTCAACATTACATTTATATCTTAAAGATACAATTGAAAGTAAATATCTTAATATTAAATTATTTATTATTATTCCTACTCATAATGATTTCTTATTTATTTCATTATTACAAAATGGTACAACTACTTTAGATAAT